GTTAGTTTCTATATTGTTACCAGGCTGTAGAGCAGATGTACTTATTATCATAGAATTATTTGACTCCAAATAACAAATACTAAAATATTGATAAAATCTATTTCTAAGATTAACAGCAGATCCTACATATTTTTTACCATTTATTAAATTTTGAATAAGATAAATACCTGATTTATTCTTATTACTCTTTAAGATTATTTGTTTATCAGTATAAACATTATAGACAGGAAAAAGAAAACAGAAACAGTAAAACCGTTTAAATACGTATAGAGAAGTAAGATAGTCTGAATAACAGGTATAAATAATGAATAAATATAATTCATAACTTCGCGATAATAACTTTTCTCACTTAAACCCTGGACTATAACTTCACCCCTTCCCTTTTTTATGCAACTGGGGGTGTACCACGATTAGTCTCTGAGGAACCCATTAATTATTAATATGATTTCCTGCTGATTGTCTATGTAATTGTATAGATTTCCCAGCATATAGTGGTATAATAATTTATATATTTACATACATAAACGGCCGAGAATGGTTGACCTACAAACATTAATAGTAAATTCTCTGATGTGACTAAAATAATCATAAACCAAGTAAATAAACTTAAATAGCTAAAGAATCGTTGGTTATGCTTTTCAGCCAAATTTATCCTGCAATTGATTTATTGGGTGTTTGATACTAACAATGGTTACTTATCTTAAAAACTTCTACCTGTATTCATACCAGATTTTATCTTTCTAATTGAATTTATACCCTCAACCGTAAGATGAGAACGATTAATCATTAAACTATGAATTTTACATCAATCAAGATAATCATAGAATTTTATACCAATTATAGGGTTTTTATTAAAAAATGGAAGTATTATATTGGTAATATCAGTAAAGTCAACTATTGTTATACTAACAGCAGACTTACCACCATATTTATAGATCTTCCCTGACCCAAAATATTCAACTATTTTCTCCATTAATCTAAGATCTCTACTATGTTGAGATATTCTAAATCTCAATTGTACTCGATAACCTAATTTACTATTGGTTGATGGCATACGAACATCAAAGTTCCCCTCAGCGCTTACAAATCCTGAAATTCAATGAGGGTCTAAAATTACATTATCATAATTTATTACAGGTCTTTCAACTGGAGTATATGCTGTTCGTTCCAAATGGTATCCTGTCCGTCTGTAAAGACGCCAC